TGGATACGTGATATAGTGATCCATGATGATACATGACACCATGAAATATGGTGGATACAAACATACATTTTCCCAAACCCATAAAATTTACAACACAGAGTGAACCCTAATGTAAACTAATGATTTTAGTCAAAATAACATATCAATATTTATTTATCAATTGTATCAAATATACCACACTCCTGCAAAATTTAATAAGAGGGGAATCTTTGGGGTAGGGGAGTATGTATGGGAACTCCCTGTACTTTCTGCTTAATTTTTCTGTAAACCTAAAATTGCTTTTAAAAAGCACTCTATTAATTAATGTATATGTTTTATATAATATTTTATAGAGGAGGCCCGGTGCCTGAATTCGTGCACAGGTGGGGTCCCTCGGGGTGGCCTGCGGGGGTCGGGTCCCAGCTTGAGCCCCCAGACTCACGCCCCCAGCCCCATAGCCCCACAGCCCTGCCTGGCACCCCGCTGTGGCCTGGCATCGCCCCCTCATCTGCTCCACCATCCTGCCTGTGGGGCGATTGGTCAGGGCTGGCCCCCCCACCCGGCTCCCTCAGTGCCTAGGAGCCGGGCAGCGGCCCTGCCCCCCGCCACCATGGCTGGTCGCTGTCTGGGAGGTGATCGGGCCCCACTCACACCTGCCTTGGCCTGGCGCTGCCCGCTCACCTGCTCCACCATCCTGCCATGGTCCCACTCTCATCGGGACACCCGCTGCCACCTGCTGCCAGCACCGTGTTGCTGACACCTGCCATGTTCTGTGTTGCCCCCTGGTGGTCAGCGCACGTCATAGCGAGTGGTCGAACAGTTTGCATATTAGGCTTTTATTATATAGGATATAGGATAGTGATATAACATGTTTCACCTATGACATTCTAGAATTATTTTTAATTCCAATATTCATTGTTGGTGCTGAAAGCTACTCTGCACTGAAGGCTACAGTTATCTTTTTAAAAATTATATCTATACTTATACATATATATGTATATATATTAATGTGTGTGTGTGTGTGCTTTAAAACCTCTATTTACTTCTGTGACCTATACAGAAAAAATAAAAAGCATATCACTCCTAACTTGTCGAGCCAGAGCAGTGCTTAGTCCATTATAGACATAAGATAAATATTTGCTATACCAATGTTGAATAACATGTCAAATAGTGAATGTAGATGACCATGAATACACTGAAATGTGCTGTCATCTAGCCCATACATATTTCTCCATCTTACTTATAAGGCTACTAGAGACCCGATGCACGAAATTCGTGCAAGGGCCTTGGCCCTGGCCCCCACCCGCCGCTGCGACCAGGGGCCTCTGCCACCTCTGCCTTGGCCCCTGCCTGCTGCAGCTTTGTCCAGAAGGAAGGACAACCAGAAGGGCATCTGGTCTAATTAGCATATTATGCTTTTATTATTATAGGTAATCTAGGCATTGCCAAATGCCTTTCTCATACCAGGATACAGTGTGCCGATAGCATTCCCCTGCTACATCAGAACAGTAACTGTAATCCATCTTAGTTCTGCTTGTTAGAGAGTTAGTGGAAAAAATAATGACATGTAACAAGGGCACGAGATGCAGATTAAAAGGCACAGTTGTTCATTTAAATTCTATATCCCCTCTGTTCTTAAAAACAAAATGGAAATTTGGAGTTATTTGGAAGTCTTTTTAAAGTTCTAAATAGTATGATTATTAATACTGCCCTAATGGTATCTTATTATTGTTATTCCTTAATAAAGGAAACAAATATTTTTTAAGTTCATCTTTGAGTAAATCTGAGCATCTATCTGAAAACAGGCCATTGAGCTCTGTCAATGTGAAATATTAAAAGCCATCAGATAATATCAGTATACTAGAGGCCCGGTGTGCAAAAATTCGTGTACTCAGGATGGGGAGACTGAGGATCCCTCAGCCCGGTCTGAGCCCTCTCGCAGTCTGGGACCCCTCAGGGGATGTCCACCTGCCGGCTTAGACCCGCTCCCTGGGGGGATTGGGCCTAAGCTGGCAGTCAGACATCCTTCTGGCAGCCCGGGTGCCCTCAGGGGATGTCTGACTGCTAAGCCATCAGTCGAACATCCTTAGCACTGCCGAGGAGGCAGGAGAGGCTTCTGCCACCACCGCTGAACTCGCAGCCATCAGCTCGGCCTGTGGTTGAGCGGCGCTCCCCCTGTGGGAGCACACTGACCACTAGGGGGCAGTTCCTGCATTGAGCGTCTGCCCCCTGGTGGTCAGTGTGTATCATAGCGACTGGTCGTTCCTGGTCGTTCCGCCGTTAGGGTCAATTTGCCTATTACCCTTTTATTATATAGGATTGGTGTTACAAATATCCAATTATCTGTATTCAATGTAAGCACCACAAAATAAAAGCAACAACTAAAAGATACTTATGAAGCATTGAGGCTTTGAGAACCCGATTTCAACAAGCTACAAAAAAAATGAAAATTTATTAAGAACTCTGTACTTAACAGAAGGGTTAAATTCGCCATGATAGGGAATTGCTACTCCATAGGACCATCTCAGCTTCCATTCTCAGGTTGGTAAGACTGTGAGAAATTGTGCCAACATTTGCCTATCAAGAAATGATGCTGTTTTGCAGAAGCACGTGTTTTCAGGCTGTGCCAGACTGGACGTTGCCTGGGAAACTGGCTTCTGTTACAGCTAGAAGGGAAAGTGTTCCTGCAGCAAGAGTAGGTCAGAATTCTCTGTGCCTGGCCCTGCTATAGCTTCTCCTTACCTGTCTTCTACCCACGGCCCCATTTGGACCAGATCCTGTGTGGTCGCTGAGTCCCTGATGTTTGCTTGAATTTGACTCCCTCACTGTTTAGACAGAAGTTAAAAAACAAAACAACAATAACAACAACAAAAAGTAACTGCAAAAAATGTTTGGTTTTACCAATATAGTGTTTTTTTAAGCCAATGTTTTAAAAACAGGATATATCTCATGAAAATCTGTGCATACAGCTTTTTCTTTCTGAGAAATGGGAATACTGAAGCCATATTTCCTCATGAAGCAATTTGCTAGAACAGAATGGCTACTGCTCACTTAAATGGCACGTGATCTCATTTGCCACAATCCCCTCTATTCCCTATTGCTCCAACACTGAGGCTAAGGATTAATTTTCATTTACACCATACTTTTACTTGTGTGTTTTTTCCCTTGTGGCAGAGAGGCATTATTTCTCTCTTCCTAGGATAAATGAGAAAACAAGAGATATAATAAAAGCGTTAAGAATTTCAAGAAAAAATATACAATATAATTCTTGGAGTAAACAAAGACTACTTCTACATGTTTAATATACAAAGTGAGTATACATAACAAAGCACAGACCCTGCTCATTTTTTCTTATATTTATTACCTAACCCCTAGAGCAGTGATGGCGAACCTATGACACGCGTGTCAGAGGTGACACGTGAACTCATTTTTTTGGTTGATTTTTCTTTGTTAAATGGCATTTAAATATATAAAATAAATATCAAAAATATAAATCTTTGTTTTACTATGGTTGCAAATATCAAAAAATTTCTATAGGTGACACGGCACCAGAGTTAAGTTAGGGTTTTTCAAAATGCTGACACGCCGAGCTCAAAAGGTTCGCCATCACTGACCTAGAGCCATTGGAGCTGAGCAATTCCAGGTCTGTGTCTCAGGCATCCAGGTGTTCTTAGAATGTGTATTATGCTCTGGGATTTGTCCCCAGTCCTAGCTTGCTGCCTAGTTTCCTTAGCCCACTGCTGCCTACACAGGAGAGGCAGGTCATACACCTAGAAAGTAAAGGTTTTGGTGGCTCCAATTGGTGTTCCTCGTTTACCTGCCTCATTGTCTGCAAATAAGCTGATTTTTATACATGGGCCATAATATTTCCTTGTAATTTAGCAATAAATGCTATATATTCAGTGTGGCTGGTTTTTTTTTTTTTTTTTCAGTATAAAAGAATCTGAATATCCTAGCTAGTTTTCTCCCTAATCATTTCATCTTCCATGTAATTGAGGGGATGTGTAGATTATGCTATAATCATCAACTAATTTAGCCAATAGTTATTTTTATTTTTAATGAAAAAGAAGGAAAGGGAGAATAAAGAAAAAGAAACAAAGCCATACTAAAAAAATATTAATATTGTCAATAGTTGGCATGAGGCCTAGGGTTTTTTGCTCTACCTCCTCTCTCCTCGGTAATTCCTTAAGCCTCCTGGAAACAAGGCAAAAGTTCATTTCAATTTTCTGCACTCTTTCTTTACATGAATTTATTTTAATAATCTTAGAATTTTTAAAGGACCATTTATGTTGGAAAGGAAAGGGAGGAAATAGATCTCAGTGTGGTCCTGGATGCTGCTCTATCTCCACCTTCCACTGTACACCCCCAAAGGCCAACACCCCCAGGTGACTGGATGGCTTAGCTAGTGTTGGTTCATGCCATAAGCAGATGGGTGTCTGAATGGCGAGGGACTTTGACAGACTCACCCAGAAAAACTGGAGCTGGAGCCAACTTCATTGCAATGGAGTAACATGCTGGAAGGGTCTTTGAATGGGATGTTAGCAAATAATTACCAAAGATCTCATTCTGAGAAGGTGCAGATGGTTACCCTGGTGGTTTCTAGCTGAGGGCCTTCAGGGAAAAACCTTTTTGGGTCCTAGGTGGCACCCCCTAGTTGAAGCACCAAGACATAAAAGGCCTTTGGCCTGAAGGTGACGGACTGAGGGCTAAAGTGGTTTAAATCTTTGCTCAAATATGTAAAATAAACCACCGGTGTCATAGCAGTGTGGGTTTGAATAAGCCTGTTGGATTGGATGAGATGAAGTGGGGAGCTGGCAGCCTGTATGTAATTAGCTCCTGAAAGAGGAAGCCCTGAGCCACCTCTACAGAGCAGTCTGAGGCCACAGGGGCATGCCCTCCAGCTGGTGAGGCCGCCCCCGCTCCCCCCGCCCTCCCTCCCCCGCCTGCTGACGGAAGTGCTGTCTCTATCCCGATAGGACAAGAATGACCCAGCAGATCGGCAAGTGGCCAAGAGGAGCTCCCAACTACCTCTTCCTCTTCTTAGCACGGGTGACAGTGGGGCATTTCCACTGAACTCTCTCCCTTCCTCCTCTGGACTAAGCGATGAAGGGACATGACAATAAGGAAATCATCGTTGCATAAACACGTAAGTATGCATTCCTCCTCATCAGACACAACCGCAAGGTAAAGAACCTGCATCCGGCATATGAGCTGGGTCCCGCATTCATTTTTAAAAAATAGGTTTTTATTGATTTTTTTTAAAGAGAGAGGAAGGGAGAGAGATAGAAATATCGATGAGAGAGAAATGCCGGCTGCGTCCTGCACACCTCCTACCAGAGATCGAGCCTGCAGCCCAGGCATGTGCCCTGACCGGGAATCGAACCGGTGACCTCTGGGTTCTTGGCTCGACACTCAACCACTGAGCCACGCCAGCCAGGCTGGGTCCCCTATTCTTAAAAGACATCCACTGAGAGAATTTATTCTAACAAAACATTTTGGTTTTTTAGTGTGTGTGTGGTTTTTTTTCACTTGGAGCTTTTTCATTTAAAGAAATCATCAGCTCTTTCTCTAGTTTTCTTTAACTAAGTACATGACAGGCAAGGCTTGCAGATTTTTCTTTGCCTACTTCCTCCTGAAATGTAAGTCTGCGGTTAATCAAGCTCTGTGAAAGTTTCTCCTTCAGACTGTGAGCTAGCTTTATGAATAATATCGCATTCTGCTGTTGGTGTATTTTTCTCTGCGGAGTGTCAGCAAATCAGAATAAAATATTAAGTAAATGAGGTATAAGAAATTTCCCCAGGGTCTCGATCCACCAAATGCCAAGGACTCACGAGCCTGCTGTCACCAGACGCATGCTTGCAACCAAAGCAGTGGCAGGGTAGGTGATGGGCTTGGTGCTTTCATCTCGGTGCCAGCCTTTGCGGCCCTCCGCCCAATAACAAAACAGCCTGCTCGACTTTGCCAGTGTTTCCACTTCCGTTTACATCACCATTCTCTGTGGCACCACTGACGGCACGGAAGTGGCACCTGTCCAGGAGGCGGTGCGGTGCCGGGGGTTGGGGATGGGCAGAGCAGGGGCAGGCTGACCTGCGTGGGCTGGATCTAGATCCAGCGACTTCGTAGCTGACTGGCGGGGGGCCAAACCCGACCCTCTGGAAACCCTATCCCTGATTTCATATTCCTCATGGAGACAGTAATACCTACCCTACAGGGTGGTTTAAAAGGTAACAACTAATAGCCATAAGATGTCAGGAACATGAAGGAGGCTCCCAATAAAAGAGAGCAATCATTATTAGAGCTGATGTTGTAAAAAGAGTTAATACACTTAAAGTGCTCAGGACAGCGTGCTCGGTAAGTGTTCGTTATTTATTAATGTGATCCGAGGGAACCGGGGGCCTTGTCAATTTGGGATCTTCAGGCCTCACTGGGGTGATGCTGTGTATTTGGCTAATATGCCCGATTAAGAAAAGGCAGAAGGTTTGGTATCTTCAGGAGGATTTTGATACGATTTAACAGGTTAAATTCCCCCTATGAAAGGGAAGTGAAATTGGATGATCTGCATCTGAGAAAGAGCAAGGACTGCGGGTTTGAGCACGGGGTGGAAGAAGGAAAGAACATACGTGGGAAGATGAACTGGGAAGCCACAGGGGGATTTCACATCTGCGTGGAAGTAGAGGCTGCAGGAAGAGAAGTGGACTGAGCAGAGAGTGTGGAGGATAGAATCAACTCGGCTCCCGGAGGATGAAGGGAAGGGAGGAGTCACAGATGATCCTGCAATCTCTGTCCTGGAGCAATTGGGTGGAGAGGGACTTCCCTGACTGAAAGGAGAAGCCAGGAGTAGATTGGATGCTGGCATCGTCACAGGGTTTATTCAATCAGCAGCAAAGAGACATTTCTCTATGCTTAGCTATTTTGTCATGTACGTTAAAACTACTCCATGATTTAACTAGCGCGCATCACCAAGAATAAGTCTATACATGGAAAATAACACAGCCTTTTTCCTGATACTAATATATAAGGTGACTGAGTCCATAGTTATGCAACTCTTAAAAAAATCATGACTAAGAAAATAGAATGCTGACGTATGATTCAAAGATGTGCAGTCATAGCTTAATTAAACTGGTAAACATCAGTCAGTGAAAGTAATTTTTATAGTTCTCCTTCATTTATTTAAATGTCTTTCAGAGACTCAACAATGAAATATAATAAGGAAAGGAAGGCAACAAGGAAGTAACCGGTAACATCTTTGTAAATAATTTGAAAAAATATTTTAAAAGCTGGTATTTTACCAGAAGAATTCAATAGTGATGCACAATAGATTTTAAAAATAAATGATGCAATTTGGGTCAGTCACTATATTTACAAAGGAAATATCCATCTGATAAAAGGCTGGCCAGAAGCCACATTCACAGTGCTATTTTCAGTAAAATTTTTAAAATCCCTTTTCAGAAATAGAAGTGATTCCCAACATTGAATTATCATCATCTGCTTCTGTGATCTTCCCTCACTGACTGAGCTCCTAAACGCACAGACCCTGTCTCACTCAACCTCAGGTTCTGGGTGCCAGCACTGTGCCTGGCATGTGGAGGCACTCGGTGAGGTTTTATCTAAGGAAGCAAGGAAGGAAAAGCAGCATGCACCAACACATTCAGCAGGTTCTGCCCCCCTGGACAAAGCAACTTCATTTCAGGAATGTAGCAATTAAAATTATTTAAAATTTGGGAACTTATTCTTTATACATGTACTATGAGTGAGTTACAGATAGCTTTGAATATAAAGAAAATTACTTTATCCATAATCCTACCATGCAAATACATGAAGGGTTGGCATTTTGGTTTTAGCAAAAAGTAATGTTACCACTGTTAGACTTAATTTCTAATGCCACTTACAAGCGTGCTTTTGGGGGGAAATATCATATTTTAAAAACTGACAGTGTTTTGGATAGTGCTTTCAAATATGACAAAGTGAGAAGAAAAACATAAGGCATGTTAAAGAGGAATTTTAAAAATGCAGATCATGAATGTGAAAGGGAAGGGAAGATTCTTTGCCAGACTCTGATTAGGAGAGAGATGATGCTCCTAGAATATTTCTGCTTTAGGATGAAGGGTTTTTTATTTGCATAGTTTATGCTAACTTGGATTGAGGAAAGGAAAATGTGTTGCAATTAATAAATAGCTAAGTCAACTAACTGGTAAAACCAAACATAAATAGACTATCTGAGAGCTACTGGCCTTCCATTTGGCAAAGCTATGCTCTTATAAATGGGGTAATTGGGTGAATTTTAGAGAACTGGACAATGAATAATATCCAGTCTTTAAAAAGGAGGAAATTCTGCCCTAACCGGTTTGGCTCAGTGGATAGACCGTCGGCCTGTGGACTGAAAAGGTCCCAGGTTCGATTCTGGTCAAGGGCATGTACCTTGGTTGCGGGCACAACCCCAGTAAGGGGTGTGCAGGAGGCAGCTGATTGATGTTTCTCTCTCATCGATGTTTCTACTCTCCTTCCCTTCTCCCTCCCTCTTCGGTAAAAAAGCCAAGATATATATATATATATATATATATATATATATATATATATATATATCTGTGTTTCTTTTTTTCTATCTCTTTTTTTTAAAAAGGAGAAAATTCTGTCACATACTACCACATGGATGAACCTTGAAAACAATGTGTTGCCCTGACTGGTTTGGCCCAGTGGATAGAGTGTTGGCCTGTGGACTGAAGGGTCCCAGGTTCGATTCCAGTCAAGGGCGTGTGCCTTGGTTGCGGGCACATCCCCCGTAGGGGGTGTGCAGGAGGCAGCTGATCGATGTTTCTAATTCTCCATCCCTCTCCCTTCCTCTCTATAAAAAAATCAATAAAATATATTTAAAAAAGAAACAATATGTAAAGTGGAATAAGCCAATCACAGAAAGACAAATACTGTATGATTTCCTTCTAGGTATCTAAAATAGGCAATTCATAGAAACAGCAAGTAGAATAGTGGTTGCCAAGGGCTGGGGAGAGGGACAAAGGAAGAGTCATTGTTTAATGGATAGAGTTTCAGATCTGCAAGATGAAAACGTTCTAGAGATGGTACAGAACAATGTGAATACACTTAACACTACTAAACATACACTTAAAAATGGTTAAGATGGTAATAAGGGGAGAGAGAGAACTGGAATTAGAAAACTAAGCCAGTGGTTTAGTCTTCTAATAAAATGTAGTAGTATTATTCAGAGGTGAGGGACATTGTTAAATAATTCAGGGCCAGATTCTCCCAGGGCATTAAATTCTTTGTGAAGGGGCTATAACCCTCCCCACCTCACCCCACCCCTTGAAACTCATGAACTGTGGCTCTGGGACTATGGGACTCAGGAGGCTGGTTTTTGATCCAAGCTCAGTTGTTCGCTTGGCTGTGTGATTTGAGTGGCCACTTGACATCCCTGGGCCTCAGCTTGGCCTAAGGATGATCTGTCACCCCTCTCACTTTTAGAACCTGTTTCTGCAGGGATAGGAGCATACCAGTCCCAAGTGGTACCCATCCAACAAGGTACTTCTCAGTGTTTACATTTTATGCATTGGTAACCATTTAAAGTATATTTTTACATTGCTAGATTAGTAATATAATTTAGTAATTATTTTATATTACTAATGCATGGGTGTAAGTATACTAATTCCTAGAAGAAATTGAACATTTATTAAATGTATCACACTCTACTTAGTACTTTGCATATTCAATGTCCATAGCTGGAATTGGACCAGAGAGTATTAAGTAACTTTTCCAGCCACACAGCTCATGGGTTGCAAATTGGGACTCTGAACTCAATTTTCTGCCTGCAAAGGTCATGCTCTGAACCCTAAGCTAAACTGGAGCAGAATATAGAATTTGCATGAAACATAAGAATTCTAAGAAAAGTTTGTAGAAAAGTTTAAGAGGTCTAACAGAATGGGGTCTTTTATAAATTCACTTCTTGAATTCCATCCATCCTGGTGAAATCACCAATTTGGCTCTTTAAAAAAAAAAATTATATATATATATATATATATATATATATATATATATATATATATTTATTGATTTCAGAGAGGGAGAGGGAAAGAGAGAGATAGAAACATCAATGATAAGAGAGAATCATTGATCGGCTGCCTCCTGCATGCCCCCTAT